TGAGGTTCAGCAACATAGCCTATGGGAGAAAGTCTATTTCCCTGAGGAGCGTTCTTGCCAATAGAGCGAAAGCAGGATGGAGGAGAAAACTTACCGCCGTGGATAACCTGGACGCCAACGTCATTTCCAAGTTGCCTTTGAGGCCAAGAAGTGCAGGAACTAAGATGAAAACTTCGGTCACATTTTTGAACACTTCCCAGTGCTGTAAAAAAGATGAGAAATGGAAATGTCTGACACTCTTAATGATGTCAAAAGAAAGACATTTCTAAAAATCCCAATTTGTTTTCCAACTTCTGAAGTACTGTGCAGGGAGCTGCCAGCTCGACCCCAGCCTCTCGGGCTCTGAAGCTCAGAGTCATTCTAGGAAATTCGGGTTGGGGCGACAGTGGACAGCTGCCACTGCCATCCCACACGTCACACAAGCCTGAACCTTGCACTGTGACTTATCTCTTCATGACGGCAATGCAGTGAAGCGAGTTTACAAGCACAGACTTGGGGTCCAGACCACCTGAACTGGAAGCCTGGGTCCCACGAGGACCACAATCCTGCTTCACTCTGCCGGCTGTCTTTAATGCCATTTATTGATACTTGATGTTACTTCTTGATGTCATAACTGGGGTTCTATTCAGAAAGTCCTTGCCTACTCTTAAGATTTCAAGAGTTTTATCTACTTTCTTTTTCAGCAGATTAAGTATTTCTTGTTTTAACATTTACATCTTTGATCTATTTTGATTTTAGTTTAGCATACAGTGGGATTTGTGGGTCTAGATTCAATTTTCTGAATGTGGATAGCCAACTTTCCCAGGATCATTTGCTAAATAAAAGACCCAACCAAAAATGGGCAACCAAAATGAATAGGCAGTTTCAGAAGAAAAAGTACAAATGATCAATAAATAAACAAAAAATGTGGAGTACTGCTGTCCATTAGAAGAAAGTGAATTAAACAACACTGAGATTCTATCTTACTTCAGAAAGAATGGCCATCAAGAAGTACAATAATAATAAATGCTGGCAAGGATGCAGGGAAAAGGGAACCTTTCTACACTGCTGGTGGGAATGTAAACTAATACAACCACCGTGGAAATCAGTATGGAGATTCCTTTAAAAACTGAAACGAGAAATTCCATTCAACTCAGCCATTTCCCTTCTAGGCATCTTTCAGAAAGAGTCAAAGATATCATATTACAGTGTCATAGTTACTTTACTCATTGCTGAGACAAAATACCCAACACCCAAAGGTTAAAGGAGGAAAGGGTTGTCTTGGCTCTGTCTGCAGGGGTTTCATAGTTGGCTGGCGGGCAGAAGGGAGCACAGCAGGAAGGGCTGACCACAGCTCTTTTTATCCTTTATGTGTCACCAGGCTTCTTAGGGCGGGCAGTGCTCACAGCCTTGGTCCTAGCGCCCTCGAGCGTAGCAATGCACGTGAATCAATTCCAGCGTCACACACTCCATTGAGCCACCTTTGAAAGAAAAGGACTCACCTACGACTGCATGAAGCTTTGGGGAGACATCTAGACACAAGCTATAACATACAGTGATCCACATATGGCTACATTTATAGCACCACAAAGCACACTGGCTAAATCTTGGAAGTAGTCTATATGACCACAAATAAATGAATGGATAAAGAAAATATGGTATTTATACCTGACGGAGTCCTACTTTGTCACAAAAAAGAGTAAATCTGAGTCATCCACAAGAAAGTGAATGTATTCTGAATGTGTAATATTACGTGAACTACACCAGATACACACACTTAAATACAGCTTATCTCATATGGGAAGCCCAACGTATAAAGAAAACAAAAGACAGATAATAGGAAACAAGGAGACAGATGTTCTGCAAAGGAAAAGGGGACCAATGAGGGACAGAGGAAGAGAAGGGAATTAAGATGCACTGCGGGGGCCAGGGAGATAACTCAGTAGAATAAGCACTTGCCTAGCAAGCGTAAAGGCCTGAGTTCAATCCCTGGTTCCGCCAAAAAAAAAAAAAAAAAGATGCACTGCGTATGCGCGCCAGCTATTTGAACTAATTATATGTCACAAATGTGTACTAATAAAGCCAAACAGGGCCGGGGAGGTGGCTCAGTGGAATAAGCGCTTCCCTGGCAAGCACAAGAGTCTGAGTTCAATCCCCGGTCCCGCAAAAAAAAAATTTAAAAAAAAACCAAAGCCAGACAAAAACATCACTAGAAAATCACACTACCACTATCAACTAATTTCAATAATGAAAAAACTAAAGATTAAGAAAGGTAACATGATTTTCTTCTCAAGGCCAAAAAGACAGGGCCAGAACTTGATCTCAGGAGTTGAGCACCCTCCTATGTTCTGGTCCTCATTTTAGAGAACAAAGTCAGCAGGCTCCAGAACGCAGGCACATACAAGCTCCCCAAGGCTGGAGACAACATTTGTGCTTCTGGGCAGGCAGCTCCATAACTTGGCTTTGAGATCCTGGATGAGCCACACTGTCTTTTTTTTTCTTTTGGTCTTTTTGAGACAGGGTCTCACTATGCAGTTCAGCTTGAGCTTACTTTGTAGCCCAGCACTGGTCTAGAACATGCAATGATCCTCCTGCCTCAGCCTCCTGAGCGCTTGGATTACAGGCATGCGCCACCACGCCTGGCAACAGTATCTTTCTGATCTTAATAAAATGAAAATACAAACTGCTGCCTGAACCTTGGAGAAACACCACGATAATGACAATAACAGATATGAAAGTGCTTTGTAGACTGAAAAGACCACATAAATATTAAGGTGACATTTAACAAAAGCTATTACATATTACTGAGTGTGGAGTACAGTACAACCCCACCTACTCGAGAAGCTGAGGCGGCAGGAGAGCTGCAGGCTGAGGAGATGGTCACACACGCAGTGGCTGAATGTGGACGCCCCTGGGTTCAGCCCTGAGTATCTCCAGCAAGTAACAAAAGGTGTCGGTCCCATTAAGGGACTACGAACTAGGCACATTAGTTTAAATGACAAAAAGCATCAAGAATATACATCTTCTCCTTAGTACCAAGAGACAAAAGTAAAACTTACATCCACAGGATGGATGGAAGAAAAATTCAGTTTGTTCCCCAAGTTTCCTTAGAGGCTGTTCCAAATCAATATTGAACTGGGGCCTACAGAGAGGTTAAAAGCATGTTTCAGCTCAGTCTTGCATGAAGTCTTGGTTCAAAGAATCACAGGAAAATCTCCAGGATTCGACCGACTGCGACATGGCTGGGGAAGCCCTGGGCGGCACAGCCTGAGGGTGGGGAACGTGGTCAGTGTGTGCGGCACCACGCACTCCCAAGGAAATACCAGGGGGCCCAGCACCCCAGGTCTCTAGTCTTAAGAACAAAAACACAGATGCAGCCATGATTTTATGGTGGGTTAAAGATCCCAATGTGCTAACAGAATATGCATCCCGCCACACTAGATGGGAAGTGTGGAGGACAACGAAGGTGATGGCAAATGACATCAGATAACGGCACACGCAATTATTAACAACATCTTATATTCAGGAGGCTGAGGTAGGAGGATCATTGAGAGTTCAACCCCAGCCTGCGCTACAAACAAAGATGAAAGAAGAAGAACATCTCACAGTCACTCACTCTTCCGGGCCATGCTCGTTACACTGACTCTACCCCCAAAACGCCTTTGAGTAGGTATTATCTTTAGCAAGTGACAGACATAATTCAGTAACACATTTTATCTAGGCCCTCATTTTAAGACACCTGCCTACGTAATGTCACTTAGCGATTTACTACATTTTGAGACAGTCTCGCTCTGTAGCCCAGGCTAGCCTTAAGCTCACTTCGTAACCCAGACTGGTCTTCAACACCCAACAATCCTCCTGCGTCAGCCTCCCCCAGCTTGTGATGTAACTCTGGAAACAGAATGACCAGCACATCGCTCAGTCACAAGCTGTCATGCTTCAGACCTACTGAGAGTACTTTTCTGGGTCATTCCTTTTAGTTCCAATGAACCATCAAGTCAGTTTGAACCAAACATCTGACCTTCTTTCCTACGCTGTGGGATGCCTCTTCACTCTGCTGGTGGTTTCTCTGGTGTGCAAAAGCTTTTTAATAAGCTGAGATCCCAGTGATTGATTCTTCATGCTATTTCCTCTGGGGTCAGGGTTTTGTCCACAAAGTCTTTGCCTACACCGATATCTCCAAGAGTTCTACCCATTCTATCTTACAGCAGATTTGGTGTTTCAGTTTTAATATTTAGATCTCTGATCCATTTCAATTTTAATTTAGCACATGGTGAGAGATACGAATGTAATAGGATTAATTCCCCCAATTAGAAAATGCAGTCTGGCTACGTGGACTTTTAGAAAGAAATAGGATCCAATATCATGCTCCATACAAGACATGCACTTCACTACTGCAGGCACCCACAGGACGCAAGGGGAAGAAGGCACCATGTACAATAGACCTTAAATCACAAGCTCTAAGAAGGACACAAAGAAGGCCGCCATATAATGACTGAGGAAAATTCAGTAAGAGAAAAAACAGTCAGAAATGAATATGCTCCCAATACCAGAAACAAAAGCTTACCTAGGAATAAAGGACATATGCTAGAGTCCACATTTACTTTACAAGGAGTAAGTTAAATTTAAAGTAGTATTTCAGGGCTGGGATCTAGCTCAGTGGTGAAGCATTTGTAAGCATGCAGGAGATTCTGGGTTTGATCCCTAGCACTCCAAAGATGAATTTTAAAAAATATTTGGGACTCATAACTATATAGAACATTTTAATCAAGAATGGAATAAAAAAAGTACTACTAGAGATGAAAACCCACCTGTACTATGTCCAAAACCATGCCAGCTGAAACTGTTCCAAATCCAGCTAGCAAAAACGGCACAAGGATTTGCAACGCCATGATGCCACTGGACTCCTTTGGTAGCTTGGGGGTCACTTCCACAATCACATCCTCATCGGCCTCACTAGACAGACCTTCATCTTGCAACATGGCAGTGGTTTCTGAGCTCTCCCGGGCATCATGGTAGCTGTAGCTGGTGTAGTCATCGTACTTGGGGCTGCAGCTCGAGGGCGCGTGCCCATTGCTGCCATGAAAAGCAGACTCGGAGAAACTGTGGTAGGCCAGGCGCTGCTCCGATCTGTCACTGAAAGTCTGTGCTGCACCTGAGAGCCCATCTTGCCAAATGCCACTTGCTTTCTTATGCCTGTCTTCCTGGTTTTTCTGGTAAATCACTGGAACCATACTCAACAGTAAATTTAAAAATTTATCAGACTGAATTGTATTTAAACGTAAAGTCCAATCTACAAAACCTCCTCCACTGCTTGAGGCATCACTTGCTTTACTACTAGTAGCCCTTCCTTTGCTATTAGTCATATTGTCATCCCACAGGTCCCTGTATTCTTTAGATCTCAAGCTTCGTGGAGCACGCGGATGCCGCACAACCACAAAAACACTCGTTTAAATTGTTGACTTCATTGTATAAAAGTGTTTCCTCTCATAAAGATCTTCAGAAGTTTCACAGAGAGATTGGCTCTGGAAAGGAAAAGAATGAAATTTACAAATTAGGTTATTTCATACTTAGATTTCCACAGCTAAAAATATAAAATATAAATTAATTCTGAAGTGC